GGATCCACGGACTTTCAGTGCCTTTCACTCTGGCGTAGACGTGTGTGGGCCCATTTCAACAGCATAGGCCCTCATTAGCACAATACAGCAGGGTATATACCTGAAGCCTAACTTCACCTGTATCAGCTATATGGTGGAGTGGCAGGTTCGTGACATTTGACACCACTCTGCTCATTAAGCAGTGTCCTCACCTACCCATATCAGAGCCTGAGGACTGGTGACTCCACCAATCCCACCTAGCCACCTGCGACAGTGGTCCAAGAATAAGAGGTGCCTCCCAGTCCTTACAGCCAACAGCATTGGGTGCCCGTAGTCTGGCTGCAAAACCCACCCACCTACGCACTCTAGGGAACAGGAACATGCTTCCCTCCCAGACACTCGGGCAGCCGTCAGCCCCCCGTCTTGCTCAGCACGTGACCCCCTATTGCAGCCAGATACCTGTGCCTACTCCAATTGCCTCTGCCCGTCTAGGACTGTAGGTGAGAGCCTGCAGCACACACTTGGTGACTGACTACCTGGATACCTGAGCTGAATCCATACAAGAAAAGTAATCGGATTCCTGGGCTCACATACCTAGTAACAGATCTAACCACTTGGTGACAGGACGTTAGAGCTTCAAAGGTACCAATAATCAAACTAGCTCATATGAGCAGCCTATCTGGGCATATCAAAACAAAACAAGAAGCTAAGACACAGTAAGCAAACATAAATAATTATAATAACTTATTGATGGTTCAGAGACAACAGTCGGTATCAAAGCACATAAAGAGGCAGACCATGATGGCTTTGGCAAGCTCCCAAAACAAAGAATCAAGAAATCTTCCAGAGGAGGAGAACCCTTGGAATTACTGGAGATAGAATACAAAAGATTACTATACAGAACTCTTCAAGAGATCAGGAAGGAGATCATGCAAAATGCAGAATGAGCCAAGGAACACAAAAACAAAGCAATAGAGGAACTTAAGAAGATTGTAGAAGAGCACAATGACAAATTTAACAGGCTGCAAGAATCCACAGAGTGACAGCAAACAGAAATCCAGAAGATTCACAATAAAATTTCAGGATTAGATTACTCACTAGAAAGTCTGTAGGAGCAGAATTGAGGCAATGGAAGTCAGAATTACTGAGATTGAAGATAAAGCACTTGACACCAACTTATGTGAGGAAAAATCAGATAAAAGGATTTAAAAAAAAAAAAAGAAGAAGAAACCCTAAGAATTATGTGCGATTCTATCAACAGGAATAATCTACGAGTGACTGGAGTTTCAGAACGGAGGGGATAACAGAAAATACAGCGATAATTGTTGAAGATTTGTTGGAAGAAAACTTCCCCGATATCGTGAAGGAAGAGAAGACATCTATCCAAGATGCTCATTGAACCACACACAAGTTAGATTCCAAAAGAAAGTCACCAAAACATATAATCAAACTTGCCAAAACCAAAGATAAAGAGAGAATTTTAAGAGTGACTAGGGATAAATGAAAAGTCATCTACAAAGGAGAGTCAATAAGAATAAGCTCAGAGTACTCAGCAGAAACCATCCAGGCAAGAAGGCAATGGGATGACATATATGAAGCCTTGAAGGAGAAGAATTGCCAGCCAAGAATTATATATCCAGCAAAACTGTCTTTAAGATATGATGGTGAAATTAGGGCATTTCCAGATAAACAGAAGTTTAGGGAATTTGTAAAAACCAAACCAGAATTACAAGCAATACTAAAAGGAGTCCTCCGGTTAGAAAATCAATAACATCAGATAACAAACGAAGACTAGAACACAGGACAGAGACTGGTGGAACCCCTGAGACTATGGCCTTTAGACACCCTTCAGACTTGAAACTGAAATCTCTCCCAGAGTTCACGTTATGGCCATACGATAGACAGGCCTATAAAATGAACAGTAACACCAGTGAGGAATGTACGGCTTAGAACAATCAACTATGTGAGACCTAAAGGGCAGCACTTGCCCAAAAGGACGGTAGGGGCAGTAAAGCTGGATAAGTGGATACGGGGAACCCAGGGAGGAAGAGGGGAGAGTGCTGACACATTCAGGGGTTTACAACAATGTCACAGAACAAGCTATGCACAGATTGTTGAATGGGAAACTAATTTGCTTTGTAAACTTTTACCTAAACAACAATAAATTTTTTTTTTTTTTTTAAAAAAGCGAACAGAAAACTCAGGGTGACAGTTTTCAGATGATTAAAGAAAAAGAAGAGTGACTTTCAGGATGGAGAGCCCTTATTAAAACAGTTGTCTTCTGTAAATAGAGCTGGAAAAATACTGTCAGTGAGTTCTTTGTATAGAAATGTTTCTTTTTCCTTATCCATGCAGGATCTGAAAAGGAAAGCCACTTCTCTTTCATCAGTCACGAGGTGCATGACAACAGAATCATTGATGCAGTGGGAAGAGGGTTGGGTTCCAAATCTCCCTAAGTGATCTCGAAGAGGGGAGAGGCAGCCAGTGTTCTCCCTCGGTTTTTCTGATCAGGGTTCCTGTGGCTCTGAGTATTTTGCCCCCCACCCCCCCACAGTGTAGTCACTCTGAAACATTGTTTCTTTGAGTTCTGAGATGAACTGTGATGTCCTATATTAATAGATATGCATAGTTTCTGGGGCTATTGTCATTTGAAGGAGTTTACAGAGGTTGAGGAGTTAAGTCAGTTGTCGTGTTTTCTATTGGAATTCCCACTTGGTCAAGTATAACATACTGAAATAATACTCTTAAAGCCTATAGGATGATGACATTTTTGCATAACAGGTCTGTGTTGTACAAGATCTGAACTGAATTTTTTTTTCTTTTTTAGATAGAAAGTAATGAGGTCCCTGGAAGTTCATTTCTTAATTTTTCTGCTGCCTCATTCATAATTTCTTAGTGTGAATACATACATCTCAGTGAATAATTGAGCTTCTTTTGGGTTGTTGTTGTTAGTTGCTGTCAAGTTGAGTTGGTTCTGACTCATGGCGACCCCACATGTGCAGAGTAGAAATGCTGCGTAAGTTTTCAAGGCTGTGAACTTTCAGAAGCATTTTGCCAAGCCTGTTTGCTGAGGCGCATCTGGATGGGTTTGAACCGCCAGCCTTTCAGCTCGTAGTGGAGTGCTTAACCATTTGCGCCTCCCAGGTGTACATTCCTCTTTTGGCTAAGGGAACTAAATATTTTCTCTGGTGTTCTTATTGTACTACTACTGAGACCATATTTAAGGAGCCCTGGTGGTGAAGTGGTTAAGAGCTTGGCTGCTAACTGAAAGGTTGGCAGTTCAAACCCACCACCTGCTCCGTGGGAAAAAAATATGACAGTCGGCTTCCATAAAGATTTACAGCCTTCGTTCATAGACACATCCGGAATCCCTAAGGGACTGAGTTACTGGGCTGAGTGCTGGGGACCATGGTCTTGGGGGACATCTAGCTCAATTGGCATAACATAGTTTATAAAGAAAATGTTCTACATCCTACTTTGGTAGGTAGTGTCTGGGGTCTTAAAAGTGAGTGACCACCTAAGATAAGTCTACTGGTCCCACCCTGTCTGGAGCAAGGGAGAATGAAGAAGACCAAAAACACAAGGGAAAGAGTAGTCCAAAGGACTAATGGACCACAGCTACCACAGCTTCCACCAGACTGAGTCCAGCACAACTAGATGGTGCCCGGCTACCACCAACAACTGCTCTGACAGGGTTCACAGTAGAGGGTCACGGACAGAGCTGGAGAAAAATGTAGAATAAAATTCAAACTCACTAAAAAAGACTAAACTTCTGGTCTGACAGAGACTGGAGAAACCCCAAGAGTATGGCACCCAGACACCCTTTTAACTCAGTACTGAAGTCACTTCTGAGGTTCACCCTTCAGCCAAAGATTAGACAGGCCTACAAAACAAACAGTAACACACATAGTTCAACCATGTATACGAGACTAAATGGACACACCAGCCCAGGGACAAGGATGAAAAAGCAGGAGGGGACAGGAAAGCTGGACGAATGGAAATGGAGAACCCAAGGTGGAGAAAAGGAGAGTACTGACACATTGCAGGGTTGGCAACCAATGTCACAAAACAATTTGTGTATTAATTGTTTAACGAGAAACTAATTTGCTCTGTAAACTTTCACCTAAAGCACAATTTAAAAAAAAATGTACAGCCTTGGAAACCCTATGAGTCGGAATTGACTCGACAGCAATGGGTTTAGTGTTTTTTTTTTTTTTTTTTTTGAGGCCATATTTAAGGGCAAAAGCATAATTAATTTTGTTGAAAGTAAAGTATTGTGGTTTTTGTACCTCGTAGAGTGTGTATTGAAATTATAAAGTAATATTTCACATGTAAAATAGATTGAATTCTATAGAAGGTGGATACTTTTAGAAGTAGACTTTTCTCTGCATGTGGGTATGAGTGTGAGTGACGTGGCCCATGTGCTTAATGATTTGTAGGTGCTTTGGGTTGGCTTACTACAGTATTAGTTCTAAAATGTTCACTGACTTTCTGTAGTTAACATGCAGTGCTTTTTTTCCCTTATAGATATATTTTTACGGTGCTTGGGGGAGATTTTGGGGATGTGAGTTTAGTGTCTTATAAAGATAGTTTTATACTAAGTGCTGTATAAGACCCATGCTTATATCTTTTTTCGTGCACATTTAAAATTCCACAGAAGGAACTTTTTCCTTTTGGTGTCCTAAAACTTATCAATGTTGGCCATAGGAACCAGCCTGAAAATTTCCCCCACTTTTTTCGAAGGTACAGAAAAAAGACATGATTTCTTGAAGTTTTTGTTAACAATGGTTTTCTGGCCAACTCTGTGTGAAACGATTTTTGTCTTGAATGGAATAAATCCATCTCCATTAATGGAAGTGAGACCCTAATTTAGTCAGGGTTTACAGAAAAACACCTCCTACCATTTCTCTTTTTTCTAAACTGGCACTAAAACATCTGGGCATGTTCTACATGTGAAGACTTTGACCTCATATATAGCTGCTGCCCTTGAGTCTCTTTTCTTGTTCTGTTTTGTTTTCTAGGTGCGCCACCGAACTTCTGGTCAGGTGATGGCTCTTAAGATGAACACATTGAGCAGTAACCGGGCAAACATGCTGAAGGAAGTACAGCTCATGAATAGACTCTCCCATCCCAACATCCTTAGGTAATGGCTTTTCCCTCCTTCTGGTGACCAAGGAGAAAGCTGAAGCACTTTTGGAGGCTTGTTAGAATATCATTGACAGCTAAAAAGAGGGTCTTAGGCTTTATCATGCTGAATCTACCTTGCTGGGATTTAGCTGTGCTCTAGATCTTTTTCTACTCACTGAGGTTTAATATCCTGGTAATTTACTGCATTTACTAAAACTTCTGTCCCTCAAGTTGCTTTACTCTTAGTAGCAGCTCATTAGAACAGTTGTTTCTTACTGCCAAATTAGTAATAATCAAAGAGAAAAGACTTTGGTCTTTATGTTGTTATTTACATTTCTTAATTGCTTCTTGAGGAATCATAATTAAATCAGTGAATGAAAACAAAAACAAAATTATGCCCTCAAGCTGTCTGCCCTTAACTTTCAGCACTCATGTAAGGAGGAGACATACTTTGTCTTTTTAAAGAAGAAGTATTTTCATATATAGTAAGATTATATAATTGTCACTTTCTAATAATTGATATCTGAATTTTTCTCATTTTAATTATCTTGATATTTTAGTGAGGTGAGTATATTTCCAAATGAGACCAAATAAGACAATTCAATTCAATATATATTTAGGAGTGCTTATGTGTAAGACACTAAAAAATTAAAAGTGCTATTCACTTAGGGTTATTTATTGCTAATATTTTACATATTTATTTTGGACTAGAGAAGAATCATATAACTTAAGAATGGCTTGCATGTTTAGTCCATGGTTCTGAATTATAGAAATTACGTTATATTGCTTCCTTGAAACTTACTATCTTTATATAGAATCACTGGCTTCCTAGTCCACTACAAAAATGTTCAGCCAATATTTTTATTATGATGACTTTCTTCCAAATCCACAAATCAGAGTAACACATTTTTTGAGCATCTAGTATATGCATGGTGATGTGTTTGATATCAAAAAGGTATAAAGGTGTATATATAAAGTGAAATGTCTGCTGGCAAGGAATTTACACTTTAATTGGGCATCTAAGACGTACATACATGAAAAGAGAACTCATAAAATCAGCTAGGATGCTACCACTTGTGTAGAATAAACTCTAAGTGCTATAGAAATTCAAAGGAGTGAGAGGTCATATTCGCTTGGTAGAGTCAAGGAAGACTTCTTGGAGGAGGGGTCTCGAGCTAGACCTTGCATTTTGATAAAGTTTTATTATTTATTTATTATTGAACTATTTGAAACATAGTATTTTTAAAATAATTTATTTTATTGTTGTTGTTGTTGAGACTATACACAGCAAAACATAACCAATTCAACAATTTCTACATGTACAATTCAGTGACATTGATTACATTCTTCGAATTGTGTAACCTTCTCACCCTCCTTTTCTGAGTTATTCCTCCCCTGTTAACATAAACTCACTGCCCCCTAAGTTTTCCTATCTAATCTTTCAAATTGCTGTTGTGAATTTGATGCCATATAGATAGATCTTAAAAGAATACAATACTCAAGGCAGACATTCTTTACTAGTTAAACTAAACTATTGTTTGGTTTTAAGAAGATTTCAGGGGATATTTTTCATTTAAGATTTCAACATTTTCTCAGGACAGTAGTTTTGGGGGTTGATAGGGTTTTAGAAGATAGGGAAGGCACTCAGGAGCAAAATAGTTTAAGTAAAGCACAGAGGTGAAAGTGCAAAGCTCTTTCAGGAGTCATTGGGCTAATAATAATAGAGAATACAGCCTTCATTGTTGATTACACCTCAACATAAAAGAAAAATCCTCACAATTGGACCAGTAAGCAACATCATGATAAATGAAGAAAATGTTGGAGTCGTAAAGGATTTCATTTTACTTGGATCCACAGTCAACACCCATGGAAGCGGTAGTCAAGAAATCAAATGATGCATTGCACTGGGCGAATCTGCTGCAAAAGATCTCTTTAAAGTGTTAAAAAGCAAAGATGTCACTTTAAGGACCAAGGTGCCCCTGACCCAAGCCATGGTGTTTTCAAATCACCTCGTATGCATGTGAAAGCTGGACAATGAATAAGGAAGACTGAAGAAGAACTGACGCCTTTGAATTATGGTGTTGGCAAAGAATATTGAATATACTATGGACTGCCAGAAGAACAAACAAATCTGTCTTGGAAGAAGAACAGACAGAACGCTCATTAGAAACAAGGATGGAGAGACTTCGTCTCACATACTTTGGACATGTTATCAGGAAGAATCAGTCCCTGGAGAAGGACATCATGGTTGGTAGAGTAGAGGGTCAGCTAAAAAGAGCAAGAGTCTCTATAAGATGGATTGACACAGTGGCTGCAGCAATGGGCTCAAGGATAACAACAATTGTGAGGATGACACAGGACTGAGCAGTGTTTCATTCTGTCGTACATAGGGTCAGTAAGAGTTGGAACTGACTGGATAGCACCTGACAACAACAATAATAGGAGAATCACCATTTATTAAAGGCTTGTGGGCTGGGTGCTTTACTTATTTAAGATTTAATTTTCACAACCACTCTCTAGTGAAGGAATTGAGGCCTAGAGATTGTGTTGGTCTGGGCTCTGTCTACCAGGCTTCTCCTAGAAGACCTGAACATTCAATAGGGTAGTATAGGTAGATAAAGCTGGAAAGGTAAAATGAGGCCAAATTATGCAAAGATGCTTTGCGTAAAGCTGAGAAGATTGTATTTTATGCTTTGTTTATTGGATTTTGAGTAGGACATGATTCAGGGTAAATGATGGCAAGATGAAAATGGTTTAGTGATAGGGAGGGAGACTGGTGGGCAAGGGATCAGTTAGGAGGCCTCCACCATGTTTGAGTGTGAGGGCTATGAGGCTTGATTTGATATTTTTGAGCTGATCATATTTTCAGCTTGCTTAAAAAATAATATATTTATTGTTATTACACAAGTGATAAATGATCACTATGGAACATTTCGAAAAGGGAGTTAGCAAAAGCAAGAAAATAAAAGTTGCTCTTAATCTTAACACTTGGAGATAAAATTAGTATTAACATTTTGAGATATTTCCTGCCAGTCTTTTTTATTTCAACACTCCTCTTCACTGTGAACTGGACTGACAAATGCTTGGGGAGATTGACTTTAACTAACTTTTATTCCGGCACTGCAAAATGTTTAACAGAAGCAGTGTAGTATAATGGTTAAAAACAAAGGCTCTATATTCTAGATCAAACTGCCTGGATTCAAATTCTGGATCTTGGGAAAGTTACGTAACTACTCTGAGCCTTAGTTTTCCCACCTATAAAGTGAGGATAATGATAGTAAATATCTCATAGAGTTGTTGTTGAGGATTAATTAAATTAGTGCATGTAAAGCACTTAGAATAGTACCTGGCTTGTGGTAAGTGCTCAGTAAATGTTAGCTTTTTAGTGAAACCTATGAGAGCTGGAACTCGACGGGACTGCCTTGTTTTTCTGAGTGTCGCAAGTTTTCTGCCTTTGGCAGTACAGTCTCACCACTTTTCTATTACTCCCTATTAGTGGAAAGTATTTGAGTTTTCCTTCACTGATAGGCTTCCAACTTACACAGGTCTGGCTTTGCAAGTTTTGCTGTATTAATTCTTTTTCTCTGGACAGTTCTTTAAATGGCCCATTGCAACCTGTCTTTTATTCATTCATTCACTCAGCAAACATTTGTTGAATGTCTACTGCTATTAATACATTCAAGGGATTTCTACTAGAGTAACACTGCCCAATAGAATTTTCTGCAATGATGAGAATGTTCTATATCTGTGCTGTCCAGTAGCCACATGTGGCTAATGAGCCTTGAAATGTGGCTAGTGAGATCAAGGAACTGCATCTTAAATTTTACTTAACTTTAACTAATTTAAATTTAAGTAGCCACCTAGAGCTAGTGGCTACTATATTGAACAAAGCTGGGCTGGAGTCTGCCTACATTTTTGCCCTTAGTTTGCATTGTTTCAGCCTAGAAACAATGTTTTGATGAGATCTCTGTTACCATTCCAATTCTGATGTCTCATTGATCTACTTTCTTAGCTTATCTCCTTTTGGTCCCGTTGAAGATGTAAAACCAAAGTAAGCCTATCTAGTCTTGTTATTGCTTAGGAATGATCCCCCCTCCCTTTTTTTTAAAAATTCTCTGCTCTCAGCTAAGTTTTTTAATGTATAAAAAGTAACATTAACTTTATCCTGATCTTCACTGTAAGCCAACAAATGAGATAATGTATTTAAAGCCTCTGGCACAGGATCTGGCACACTGTAAGCATATAATACATAAAAATTATTATAATTATTGTGTTAACCATGGTGTGTTTACACACTGCTGTGACTGTTTTTATTCTGCATAAGCCATCTGTCTCAAACAGACTGCTTTTTAAAAGCCTGGAAGTGGATTAATTTTAAAAGAAGCTTTCTAACTGTTTATATCTTTCATGTTTTCACTTTCATTGTATATTTTGAATACAACAAAAGCAAATTATCCTAACCAGTGGCCTAAAGCAAGAAGAGTCCTCTTGGCTTTTGTTATCCAGAGAAGTACTGTAGCAATAGAAGCATTTATTATATGTCCTCCCCCCGCCCTGCCACCAATTGCCATGGAGTCGATTCCAACTCATGGTGACCCCATATGTGTCAGGGTAGAACTGTGTTCCCTAGGACTCCTTAAATGTCAAACTAAGCATTAACCATGTTCCATTCTCAAGGTTCTTAGAATTTTTTTTGTTTTTTTTCTAAATGCTTTCTAGATGTCTTATTAATTTACTGTTAACATTTTACTTATAATTTGACTTTTTTGTTACTATTTGTTAGTATGGCTTTTAGTCTGGTTTCAAGCTAAAAATACTATAAACTCTCTTTTATAGGTGCAAAAGCTAAGGCAGAAGTATAAACCAGAGTTTTTCCCAAATTGACTTTATTAGATCTAAATTGGGAGGAATCTATCTATTGGAACCTTGGAATTTTCACAGACTGGCCCTGAGAGGGAGGTTGTTGAGCAGATGAGGCTTTTGGCTCTCTGCTCTGCTTCATCCAGCCACAGCAGC